ATGAATGATGTGCTAGTCGTGCTTCGATAGCTCAATGGTTAGAGCACTGGTCCGGATAACCAGTTATCATATCATGGGTTCGATTCCCGAACGAAACATATCATTTGTTTTTTTGAATGATGTTAAAATCATCGAAAGTCAAAGGAAGTAAAAATTCAGTATTGTATATTTATTAACTATGTAGCGTATAAATCTGTCATGCGCTACTTATTGGAGGCTGAGGATGGTCATCTTCTCTTCACCCTCACTCCTTACTCTCACTGTTACCTAAACACGTGACAAGCACATATTGTCATCTATAAAATTTACTTTTTTTCATATATTTGTTAAAGGAAGAAAGAAAGAAAAAATTTTTCACAATTTGCGAAGTTACTGTGCGCAGAGACTTTTTGAGACGATGCTTTTTTTACATAGTAATCGTTGACTTGTTTTTTCTTTTGTGATAGAGATTAAAAAATATGGCACATTGTCAACAAAATTTATATCCATTTCTCTCACTTTCTAAGGATGATGATGCAAGTAGCATTCTAGTTGACAATAATGACGAACCCATTCCGCATGCCGATGAGGATAATAATACTTTGATGAGCCAGGTCGAATCGAAAATTACAACAATTGCTGCAGCAGAGGCTGAAAAAAAAATCTACATAAAAATACTGTATATGGTCTTTTGCCACCAATCGATATATTAATTTTTGGTCGTTCTGGAATTGGTAAATCTTGTCTATTAAAAGCGATAACAGGTGATCCCGATATTAAAACATCGCCACAATTAGATCATATTACACAAAAGTTAGAATCATTTACAAAAAAATTTGGCAAATTGAGCTATCGTTTTTGGGATACACGAGGCATTGATTCGTGGTCAACGCCGAAAGATCATACTGATTTGATCGAAGAAATTAGACAAAATAAAATAAAACCGTTGTTCGTCATTTATTGCTCCTCTGGTAATGGTAGAGTAAATAGTGAAGTTGTTACAAAAATCTTAAATTATTTAAAAGGAACCAATACTCCAATTGCATATGTCATTACTAACATATATAATCATAGTAATGAACAATTAATTGGACAAATTGATGGCGGTCTCACTATCATGGGAAACATTTATTTAAGAAATCCAGTGCAGAAAAATAAACATTGTTATGAGTTCGGTGCATTGACTAGCGATGACGGCGAAATTATTCTCAATGGTAAAGGTACTTTAATTAGTGTTAATTCAGAGCCATATGTCAATGATTTACTAAACATCGATAAACTTAAGCTCAATATATTTGAGTTAATGTCATTTATTGCAAACAATTTGAATGATGATGATTTTGCAAGATTTGTTGCTTTAACACTTCAAAATCGAGGTTTCTGGGAACAAAAATGGGATACTCTTGTATCAAAATTACATCAATGTAGAGATCAACTGGCTAAATATGGTATAAAATTTCGAGATTATATATGGAATCCACTTACTAATCAATTTCAATCGACAAGTGCGAACTAAATAGTATCTTTTCTTACAACATTGACTGACTCTCCAGATAGAATATGCATGGACTATTTGACGGATTGACTGAAGCAGCTATCGATCCTTCTCTTCACTCATAGTTTTAAAATTCGTATTAAACTATAAGTTACTATTTCTATCTCGGAGGTGAAGGTGAAGTCCGAGTGGATTCTATATATAATCT